TTTCCAATGTTGGCACTATTTTTGCATAGACTAAAGTACAAAGCAGTGAAAATCACTAATAGGCAATCGTTCGATGGGCTGAATTGCACAAGGCGCATGATCGTACCGGCTAGTCTGGTGCGCGTTGCTATTTATATTTGTGTTGTGCTGCTGTGGTCGGCCAATACAACGTCTATTTCACTTCGCTTAACTAGGAGGCATGGCATATTTCGACGAGTATTAAAACAGAATTATTAAACTTTAAAGTGCAAAGAGCGAAGCGAAAACACCTACCTGTCGAGGTGAAGAACGCTGAGGCCAGCTCGTGCGCACGCAGCCGCAATGATGGACTCTGGAAGACCAGTGCCAAGGATAATGACATCCGCCATCGCGGGTAACTCGTCCATCACCGGCATTTCGCTCAATCCTGGCAATAAATGTGCAGATAGCAGTGGATTCAAAAATTCGCTTCCGTGAACAGAGCCTGATGGGAGCAAGGATCACCAAAACACTGAATACGGAGTTTTGAATTTAAGCTTCTAAAACTGGTCCTTGTTTTCTGGGTAGTATTCTGATTTTTTGTGGCGATATTCAAAAAATTGTTACGGGAATGTGACCAACAGGTAATGCCGAGTTGGTCAGTGTAGTCCAGAAATTGGGCAGCTGAGAAGCTGCAGAACAAAACTGTTGAATTACAACTGACAAAAAGTTATGCAGGAAGCTGAAAGAGAGCAGATGAACAAACTCTGGACATGAATCATTAACAAACATTTTAAACTGAATCTGAGTTTTTTTTCTTTTTTCCTTACAATTCGATGGAAGGATCTACTTGAACGGCTGCATGAAAGTTATTGGGATGCAATGAGGTTGACCCCAAACAATGGAGTTGCCAGCCCCAACGACAACGAAGAAAGATGCATAGCAGTAAAATAGTGATTCTTTTCTTTGTACTGCTCCCGAACTTGAGTATTAAATCCCTGGACAGTACAGGCCAGCAGACGTATTTGGTCCCTTTTTGCAGGACTTCCCGGTCCCCAAAAGCTGGCAATTCCTGTAGCAATTGGAAGAGCAGAAAAAAAGCTGATACTGAGTGATTTGAAAAATTAGTGCTGACAAGGTGCATTTATAGCGTTGAACGGGAATGTATATGACTTGACGGGCCAAAACACTCCCCATTCAGGATCTAAATTCTAATGCCTTTTTTATGCGTTCTGTGCTTTGTAACAGCAGTACAAAACGCATGTTGTCACGGTGTTGTCTGTGTGTGTGTGTGTTTGTGTGTGTGGGTGTGTCCGCAGCAACTCGTCCGCAACTTTCACCTCGGGAACCAAAAAAGTTAGAAAGCTAAAAATTCCCCTACACACGCGTGACCCCGCAAATTTAAATTCAGCTTCCCCATGCCCACGGGTAACACGTATGGCCTCATGAAAGTTTTTTACGGGTAAATTAATATCTCGGGAACCACGGTGTCTAGGAGACTGAAATTTTAGGGTAATGTCCCCCTGCCCATTCAAATTCAGCCTTCCCGTACCCGCAGGTAACACGTACGGCCCCGTGAAAGTTTTTTGCGGGTAAATTAACATCTCGGGAACACGGGGTCCAGGAAGCTGAAATTTTAGGGTAATGACCCCCTGCCAACGCTCGAACTTGCCTATTCAAATTCAGGATTCCCGCACTCTTGAGTA